CAGAGCTGCACACTGGGTTTGCAAGGAACCACTAAGTGGGCTTGAACTGCCCACCTTCCAGCTGATGGCCGAGACCCTAACTGCTTCTGCCACCCAGGGACTCCGCAGTCACTGTATTCAGGTGGAACTCTTCCTCTGTTGCTTTACTATTTTTATTGTAAAAATATATCTCAGGAGCCCTGGTAGTGCAACATTTAAGCGCTTGGCTGCTAACTGAAAGGTGGGTGTTCAAACCTACCCAGTGGCTCCATGGAAGCAAAGACCTGGTGATCGGCTTCCACGAAGATGACACCCCATGGTGCGGATCTGCCCTGTCACACGGGCCGCTGTGTGGACTTGATGGCACCCAATGGCACCACAAAAACATACAACATGACACCTGCAGTTCACGCTTTTCACGTGTATGGTTCACAGTTAGCACAGTCACATGTAGGTGCCACAGCATCCGTTTCAGATGGAATTCTTGAAACAAAACGAAGACGCCATCTCCACCCTCCCGTAACCCAGCACCCAGCGTGGCAGGAAGGAGTTCTAAAGATTGACAGTGAAATGCCGAGGGGCTCCCCCTGGCTCCTGGCTGAGTCTTATGTTCTTTCTTATGCTGGCATTTTCTGAATTTTTAAAAAATATGTACTTTTTATAATCTGGAAAACTATTGTCAGTTAGGAAAATACAGCGTCTAGCCGAGGGAATAAGGTTCCTACACAAATAATTTACATCGCAAGCCAGACAGGAGGTCCCACCCACGAGAAAGAGGCAGAAAGGCCTCCCAGAGGTGAGGTGACTTCCAGCTGGTGGGAGGGCTTCATGGAGCAGGCGCCGTCTGAGTGGGGCAGGAGTTCCACAGAGCGGTGACGTGAAGTGGGGCCGGGTGCATGGGTGGGAGATCAGGGCAGAGGCAGTGGTGAGGACAGAGGGCCTGAGAGAGCCCCTAAGATGGGACGGGAGGGAGGGGACCCAGCTCCCGGAACCCTAGGACAGAGAGAGCCAGCGAAGTTTCAGGGGTGGGAATGGCTTTCATCGGGGCAACGGCTTGGTGGTGCAGTGGTAAAAGTACTCGGTTGCTAACCGAAAGGTCAGTAGTTTGATCCAGCAGCTGCTCCACGGGAGAAAGATGGAGCAGTGTGCTTCCGTAAAGAACACCGCCGAGGAAACCCGTGAGGTAGCCCTACTCTGTCCTCCAGACGCCACGAGCAGGAATGGACACCCAGCACCCACCACCCCAAGCCTCAGGGTGTGTCTGGGCGCACTGTGTGCCTCCAGCGCCAGCCCACCTCATTGGCAGGACCGGCACCCACTCTGTTATGCAGAGGCTGCCACAAGGCTGAGCCGCTCCAGGCAGCCAGCAAGGGCAGCGGCGTGTCTGAGGGACCCCGGTCTGAGCCACCCGGCTGGGGCTGGGGGGCCTGTCCTGGGCCAGTCACTCTGGGAGTCCCGCGGGCAGAGCGGCAGGGCCGATGGTCTGGGTGACGGGCCCACAGCTCCCTCCATGCCCAGCCTCTCCTCCTGCTCACTGTCGCTGGACCCAGGGAGCAAGGGGCAGAGTGAGGAGCAGAGGGGGCCTTAGGAGGGGCCTCGGAGCCCCCCCCCCCAAGCCCCACAAAGAGGCAGAGGTGGACGGAACACTGGCTCTGCAGGACGGATGGACCGGAAGTGAGGCTGAGGCAGAACTGGGGTCTCCGTCCAGCTCCCAGAGGGAGGAGGAAGGAGGGTGAAGTCGGTGGAAGTGTGGGAGGGTTAAGGAGGAGCTGAGAGCTAGGGGCTGATTCCAGAACATTCCTGAGCATTCCTCCATTGGGAAGGCCCTGCCCACGGTCTGCCCCGGCCCTTCCCTCCACCCACGAGCCCACTTTCACTCAGGGTGTCTCCAGAGGCCTTCCCAGACTGAGGCGGTGAACCCCAGGCCTTCCCCTCGGCCCCCTCGCCCCACCCAAGGCTGCGGACCACCCGACCAGCACACCCTTCCTCTTGGCAGTCTACCCCTCAGCCAGCCCAAGCTGTGCCTGAAGTATGAGGGGCTGGTGAGAACTGGTCTCCGGAAGCCCCCCTTCCCAGACAGCCAGGACAGATGAGGGCGCACAGGGTACCGTTACACGTGCAAGGACACACTGTGTCACATGTGTGTAAATGCATGACTCACATACAACTCTGAGCCCTGCTCGTGCTCCAGGGCAGGAAGACAGCCAAGTACTACCAGTCTCCCCACAGGGCAGGGCCCCCACTCACAGGGACCCCTGTGTGAGGAGCCGTGAGCCTGGGGTGCATACAGGGCTCAGATACGTAAATTCTTTCCCACTGAGGAATCCCTCTGAGTCCTGGCCTCCCAGCATCTCCCACTGGACGGAGCCTCAGCTTGGAAAGTTCCCTCCCCTCCCTCACCTGGATAAATCCTGCCTTGAGCAGCCAAGTCGATTCTGACACACAGCAACCCGACAGGACAGAGAAGAACTGCTCCCAAGGGTCTGCAAGGCCGTAAACCTTTACGGACGCAGACAGCCTCACCTTCCTTCTGAAAAGCAGCTGATGAGTTCGAAGCACGGACCTCTCAGTTAGCGGCTGAGGGCTTAACCACTGTGCCACCTGGGTTTCCTGGTTAAATCCTACCCTCTTCCAAGCCGAAGATGCCTCACTGCACGCTTCTGACAGCTGTTTACCTACCGGTCCTGACCCCGGTGGCCACCTCCAGGGCAGAGGTGGCCTGGCCCATCCCTGTGGCCCCCGCTTCCAGCAAGGTCCCGGGTAAAGTGGGTGCTGAGTGGTGTTTGTCAGCTGCAGGGTGACATTCTGGTCCCTCCCCAGGGCTGTGTCCCCCCGGCCTGAGGACCCAGGGACAGTGCCACCCTGAGCCGACCTCCTCTGCCTGTCCCCGGGGGCGGGTCCACCATCTCCAGCACCAGCTGCCATCAGAGATGTGGACAGCCAAGGACAAGGCCTCCCAGTCACATTCTGGAGAGTGTTCACCCAGGAGACAGGCGTTTCCCGAGGCACGCTGAAGGCACTGGGCTCATGGAATGCCCGCGAGGAGAGGAAATGAGCCGGCCCCTCTGCAAACGTCCTGGCAGTGCCTCCTCTCTGCCCCCCATGCTGCCATCACCACGGCTGGGGCAGGTGGGTGGCTCTGTGGGGTCAAATTTAGACAGATGGATTCACACACCCATTTCAAGGCAGGGCCCTTAAAATGCCCTCTAGTGACAGCCACAAGGTGCAAACAACTCAAGTGTCCATCACAGTACAGGGGTACAGAGATGTGGTACAGAATTCATACAACGGAGTGTTATTCAGCCTTAAAGAGAAATGAAGTGGATGCATGCCACGACACAGGTGAACCTCACAAACACGCCAAGTGCAGTAAGCCAGACCTAAGAGGACAGGTATCATGTGCTCCACTGATCAGAGACATCGAGGACGGGTAAATCCACGGAGCCAGATCAGTGGTGACCGGGAGGTGGGCGCGCAGGGAATACTCCTGCTCATTTGTCTTTAGGGGTATGTTTTCCCGGACACAGAAGTTACAGAGGTGTGTTCCTCTAGATGAGTCGCTGGGTCGTGCCAACAGTTAACGTGCCTGGCGGCTCACCAAAACGTTGGGGGTTTGAGTCTATCCAGAGCCACCTTCGAAAAAAGTCCTGATGACGCACTTCCAAAAACTCAGTCCTCCAGGACTCTCTGGGGCACATCCCACTGTGACACATGTGAAGTCACCGTGAGTCAGAGTCACCTGATGCCAACTGGGTGTTCTCTCTGACAGTGATACAGCAAGAGAAGACCGAGACGGTACAGCACTGGGACGAATGTGACAGAAACAAAGTGAAAGCCACCCTCTAGACCCGGGCTTAGCTCTGGGGACCAGCACTTGTAGGAAATGCAGTCTCTCACGCCGCCCCAGACCCGCTTGGCACCTGGACAGGACGCAGGTGTCCGTGTGCACGTTAGTGTATGAGAGGCCTGCTCCAGCCCTATCATCTGCACCCCATTGCAAAGGCGAGTCTTCTCCCTTCCCCACTGGCCACCGGAAGATTCTCCTCCAAACCAAAACCAAAGCCCTGCAACATTGTCTGTCTCACTCAAAACACACTCACTGAGCATATCCTGAACTTTGGGTCCCCAGCTCAGGGAGCCACAGTCCGAGCGAGTTGGGGCCAACTTTCTGAGAAAAAGCAGGGCAAGTGCTATGTCCCTGGTGTCCCCAAGCTGGCCTGTGTCCCACAGGGTCTGGTACCAAGCTCTGCAGGGGAGCACAATTCCAGGTTCGGGTCCCCAACAATACTACCCAATACCACCCAAAACAAAGCTGTGTGCAGGTATCAGGGACCCCCTTCCCAGCAGCCATGACAGTGTGAGTGTGCAGAGGGTGGAGTGCATCACACTGTCCTTGCCTCCAGCTAGGCCACACCCAGGCCCCGCCCCCTGACACGCATGGCCAGCTCCCTCCCACATGCACGGCCCCTCCCCCAGCACACAGAGCCTCCCAGGAGAAGAGGGAAGACGCATGACTGGGCAGAAGCTCCCCCAGTGGAAAGCCTCAGGAGGGCAGGACCTTCCTTATACCCCAGACCCTCTGCTGTGCCAGCAACAATCTTCTCGAGCAGGCACCTGACTTCCGGCGGGCCCACCCGCTGTCCAGAGCCCCGTGGATGTCAGCTTCCACCCAGGAGAGCCCTTCCAAGGTCTCAAACACATTCCATCCACACCCCTCACCAGGCAGCCCTGGCTCCTGCCACCAGTGCACATTTCCCGGGGCTTGCACAGCCCAGGTCTGCACCACGACTCCCCAACCAGTAAGGAGGCCCTGATGGTCTAACCTGCTGTGTCTTGGTCTGTCCCCAAGGGCAGAACGAGTAGGGACCACCCCCCGTGTTCTGGGACCTGTCCCTGCGTGTTCTCAGGGAGGGCCCCATGTTCAGCTTCCTCCTCCCAGGCTCCCTGGCAAGCCAGCTCCCCATCCACCTTCTCCCTCACCACCACGTTGCCCACAAAGACCCCGACGCTTTCTTACTCACCCTCCTGGCTCCGGGGCGGGGCCTCAGCCACAGCAGGCTGGGGTCTGGACTCCAAGCGGTTCTGCATCTGACAGCCCAGGCCGGGCTCTGAATTCTCCAGGATCTGGGGGGGCATGGGGACGGTGGGCACCTCTGCCGGCTTGGGCACCTGGATCTCCACCCTCTTGGGGGCAGCGTCGGCAGTGGGGACGGCGGGCACCTCCGGGGTCTTGGAGGCCGGAGGCTCCATCCGCCGGTGGGCTGCCTCCTGGGCCTTGACTAGAGTGATCTCCGTCCTCCGAGGCGCTGGCTCTGGCGTCTTGTGGCTCAGCGCCTCGGCCCGCTTGAGCCCGAAGCGGGCCGGCCCGGGGGTGCTGGCGGTCTCCACCTGCTTGGACGAGATGTCGATGGATAGCTCGGTGCGCCGCGACACTGGTTCGGCCCCCTTGGGCCCTGGAAGCTCGACCCGCCGCAGGGCGGCCTTCGGGGAGCGCTGGCTGAGGGAATCTACATGGCGGGCAGGCTCCGTGCCCTTCACCCCCAGGTCCTGGAACTTCTGGGTGGAGCTGGCCACCGTGGCTCGCAGAAGGGGTGGTTGCACCCTCCGGGGCGGCGTAGAGTTGGGCGTCTCTACCTCTTCGACCTCAAAAGACCGTTTCAAGGCTGGAAGACAGAGAAGAGACACACTGAGCATCCTGCCGGGGTTTCCTGCCAAGGAGGAGCTGGGGGCCTCAGGGAGCCCCTCTTTCCCTCTCAAAAGGGAAAGGAGAAAGGTGGGAACATCCATGTGTCCATCAATACACAAATGGATCGACAAAATGCGCTCCGTCCACACAACGGACTATCACTCGGCCACAAAGAGAAGTGATGCCCAGACATGCGCTAGGACATGCATGAACCCGAGTGCCACAGGTCAGACAAACAGGGACACAGGTTGCAGCGTCCACTCATGTGAGACGTCCAGACTAGGCAACAGCAGAGGCAGAAGGTTTATTAGAGGTTACCAGGAGCCGGGGGATAGGGAAGGAGCCCTGGTGGCACTAACCAAAAAGTCAGTGGTTCGAATCCAGCAGCCACTGCACAGGAGAAAGATGTGACAGTCTGTTCCCGAAAAGATTACACCCTTGGAAACCAAGGGGACAGTTCTATTCTGTCCCATATGGTGGCCATGAGTTGACTCGACCGCAGCAGGTTTGGTTTGGGTTTGGGGGAAGGGAAATGGAAGTTATTTTTAGGGGGCTCTAAGCTTCTGCCAGGAGTGAAGACAAAAGGGAAACCATGGTGGTGGCTGCACAGCGTGGCACACATAATGAAAGGCACTGAACTACACACATAAAAATGACGGAGATGGCAAAAGAGCAAGAAAAGAGAGAAGCCCGTCTGAGGCACCGATGGGGGTGAGCACTGGGACCGAGAGGCTGGCGCGGGGAGGGCACCCGCCATCACCACAATGTGGCCGCGGCGCCTCCTCTCTCCAGCTGCGTCTTCACTACAAGTGCTCCTGCCATGGCCTTCCTTCATTCCTTCTCTGCTCACACCACGCACACACCATCGGGGACCCGTCCCCAGTAACCACCACCACACTGGAACCAGTCCGATGGCTACAGGAAGACCCACACCCTATCGGTAACAAGTAGCCACGTGGGGACGTTTATTGGGGCTGCGCCGGGCCGGGGGGAGGCTAGGCAGCACCTCTGACTGTCTGTTCTACTCTGAAGCCAACGCACTGACCACTTTGCAGTCCAGCTCCTCTTGGGGTGACAGGGAGCCTCCCCCCCCCCCCGGCTTGGTCCAAAAGTGAAGGCTGACTCTACACCCACTGCTCTTCCCGGCCCCACCCTCCTCCCTGTTCCCTCCGCCCGCCCTCGGGACACTGACCACCCGGCCCCACACCCACCCTGCAGCCCGGCGTTTCCATTCCTGGGGCCTCACTCTCTCCCCGGAGTGTGTTTCCCCCAGGCAGCAGGGACAGTCCCTGTGGCCGCGCCCAAACCAGAGCCAGCTGCTCCCACTTAGGAATCCAGGCTGGAAAGAGGTCCACGCGGCAAAACAGCCTCCTTCCCCGGCATCTGTGGTATGGCCCTTGGCAGCCACACCAAGCCCTCTCCTTGCCTGCCAGCCCCAGGGCCCAGGATTTCAAGGGACCCTACCAACAGTCCCCTGCCCGCAGCACAAAGTGGGACGTACCCAGTCCCAACCCCAACCAACAGCCTCAGGAAAGACATGTGGGCAGGGTAGAAGAGGTGGGGTGGCCGTGCTCTTAGGGCTGGAGTGGGGGGAGAGGAGGCCCAGCCTCTGGCACTAGCAGCCTGAACGGCCAACCTCCCAGTACAGGGCTCCTTGGGGACATACCCTCTCAGCCCAGGGCATCCCTCCTTCTTGGGGGGGCAGTCCTGGGGGGCAAAGCTCACCCCACCCAGAGGCAGCAGGGGTTGTAAAAGCCTGCAAAGCAATGTGGCAGGATGGGAAGCTATGCACACTGTGAGGCCGGCGAGTCACTGTGTGCACCCGTCTCGAGCAGGCAGTGGCTGGCGGTGCGGTGGGTCCAGGGTGGCCAGAGCTGCCCAGTTCTCAAACCTGGGTTTCCTATGATTGCTCTTGACTTTCAAATGCTGGCACAAACAAAGTGAAACCCTTTTAAAGTACCGTGCGGTCGAACACAACTACATCTGCAGGATGTATACGCAGTACCTGGGTAGTGCAAATGGTTAACAAGCTTGGCTGCTAAATGCAAGGTTGGCGGTTCGAGTCCCCCAGAGGCACCTCAGAAGATGGGTCTGGCAGTGTGCTTCCAGAAGACCACAGCCCTGCAAACCCTACGGAGCACACTTCAACTCCAACAAGCACGGGGTCACTGGGAGTTGGAATCGGCTTGCGGCAACCAACAACAACAAAACAGCTATTGAGAAAATGAAGAAACCGTTCCCGGCTCACAGGCCAGACGGGAACAGGTCCGGTGCCAACCCCTGCACTGGACAGGTCACAACCCAACCAGAACGAGATGTCCCCTTCAACTTCCTGAATCTCACAAGTCATCTCCAGGTGACTCTCAGGAGCACAGTCCATCGCACAAATGCACCAGCCACATGGGTGTCAGCCTTTCCGTCTCTTTATAGGATGAGGAATCGCGTTCAGACAGATCTCAGAGATACTGTGGGCTCGGTCCCAGACAACCGCAATAAAGCGAGTGTTAGAACAAAGCGAGTCACACGAGTTCTTTGGTTTCCCCGTGCATACAAAAGTTACGTTTACCCTAGACTGTAGCCGATGAGGTGTGCAAGAGTGGGATGGAAAAGTCTGAAACGCTATGAGAATCACCGAAATGTGACATGGAGGCCAACACATGACACAGAGAAGTGAGCACACGCTACTGGAAAAACGGTTGTCATCAACGTTCAACGCATAAGACACGGTACTGTCTGTGAGGCGCGGCAAACGGCCCCGAGGCCTAAGCGCTGTGGCCACCACCTGCCTGTCGGCTGGTTGCATTACGGTGGCCTGTGTGCTACTGGGAGGCTGTAAGCTACCCCAAGAGTGTGTCCAGTCCCAGCAGGTCGCCCACGGCGGACAGCTTTCAGGAGAGTTTCCAGGCTAGAACAACAAGGAAAGCCCTCGAGATCTACTTCTGAAAGTTTGCCGACAAAACCCCGTGGATCTCAGAGGCATACTGTCTGCCGCAGCGCTGGAAGGGGCGTCCCGGGTTGGAGGCCCTCGGGACACAGGGCCGCACAGTGGGGCCGCACAGTGGACCCGCACATCTAGGGGTGAGGACGGTGCGGGCGGGCAGCGTCTCGTTCTGTTGTCCAGGGGTCGCCGAGGGTCGCAGCGGACTCGATGCCACTAAC